TCATAGAGGGACAATTATGCCTATAAAGGGATGAGAGGCAAAGAGCCTACAGTTCTGCCTATGTATGAATCAGGTGCAGAAAAACAGGCTGGGAGTCCTCATTCACACCAAATTGCATGCAATGTATCCTACACACAAAGTAATCAGAAAGCTGAGGAGGCAACTCACTAGAAATGAAAGACAGGGATCTAGAGTAGAGAAGCACCACTGGTTAGTTGAAATCTATGAGGAAAAGACAGAAGGAGTAAGATGGATAGAAAAAGTTGAAAAAAAAAGCAAATTAATAGAAGGAAAGTTCTGGAAAACATAAAACATCATGAGAAAATTAAGCATATGCACATTTTCCTGAAGAAGAATAGGAAATTTATACTATTAGGTAAGGCTCTCCATGCTTCCGGGACAGACTTTTCATTTTGGAATTTTGGCAGTCTGAGCTTAAACCTAGGAAGCCCTGGTGGCATAGTGGGTTGTGAGTTTGGTTGCTAAACACAAGCAGTTCAACCCCACGAGCAACTCTGCAGGAGAAAGATAAAACTCTCTATTCCTGTAAATTTTAGTCTTGGAAACCCACAGGGGCAGTCTGATTCTGTTCTATAGGTCTACTAGAAATCAGAATCCACTCAGTGGCAGTTGAGTTTGGTTTGGATGGGTTTGAGCCTAAAGGCTCTGCAATTCAGGGGATTTGTTATTCGAATAAAGTCCTTCAGCTCCCTCTGCTGTTCAAAAGTTTATTTTAGTTATGTCAACTCAATTTTTAATGATCAAAGTAAATAGAAATACATAATATATACATATGTACCACACGTGGCACAATCCATGCAATCAGAGTTGAAACCCACTTGCCTATCATGAGGTCTGTGTTCTGGACCCTAGGCTGTAGAATGAGCATTAACAAATCCTACCGTTGCCACCAACAAATCCCAATGGTAATCAAAATACTAAGAGCCGCGAAGTTTTAGTAAGGAATGAGGACTCTATGCTTCTTAGCTGGATTTTGACAGAAGATTTTAATAAAGAAATATATGTGCTCTGTCCATACATCAAAAATAAAAGCATCATTAAGTGTTTTCTGTTTCTGCTTGTCTTTTCTCTTCCCAACATCTCCTTATTAAAAGACTATCTTTATGTGAAGGGGCTTCAGAAAGTTCATGGGAAAATGTAATGAAAAGATAACAGATTTTTTTTCTTTTTTTTTAAACATTTTATTAGGGGCTCATACAACTGTTATCGCAATCCATACACACATCAATTGTGTAAAGCGCATTTGTACAT